AAAAAAAAAAAAAAAAAAAAATTTAAGCACCAAAAGCCTAATATGGAAATTTACAATATAAAGAAAATGACAAATACGTGACTAAAGCAACTTGTTCACTATCACCACTCATCCTTCTAACAAAAATTGGGGATCTACAATTTGCACACCTCCTGTGTCTGCCTTGATAAGTTACTGGTGAATACCCACATCCATGTCACAAATTACTAGAAGCAGTCACACTCTTGGAGGGGGAGAGAGAGAGAGAGAGAGAGAGAGAGAGAGAGAGAGAGAGGGAAGTGAATGCATGGAAACAAACCAGTGTCCTAATTATAATTGGGTTTCCTACAATACAACAAGCATTTTATGTATGGCTAACAGAACATGGTATCATTTTCCCAAGAAACAATTCCATCCATTTTGCATAGTTCCCACTAAATTATCTTTAATAGAATTCTTCAATTTGAAAACATAAAAAGAATCTGAAACACAATTAGGTTCTTTCCATTCATTTTACAAACATATTCTCAGTTTCAATTTAGTCCCACAATTAACAATTGCAAATCTTAAAGTTCAAATTTCATATTCTGATTAAGAATCTCAAGCGTGATAGCAACTCCATGTTAACTGGGTAATAATTATAAAGGCAACGGCCAAATTGACCACGACACTGCAGCACAGGATAATGTTCCCTATCTCTATGACCAAATAAAGGCATCAAACTTACTTAAGAAATTGATGCATTAGCAAATCACTATCCCCTTAATCCATCAAATGTACTTCAGTTCACTGCTCCAGTATTTTTCAAAAATGTTTCAATTGTTTGGTATTCCTTGAGAGTCTTATATTTTTAATGTATAAATATAGTTACTCGTAGAATAGGTATTTAGATCTAGTCGAACCAAAGTAGAAGAGTAACTTGATTTTGATTACAAAAATTATTCATTAGTTCAACAAGAGAAACGGATACTTAATTGACAACTTTGAACTCACACACTACAAGTGTCGTTGATAAATTGCTGAATGGCTCCACTTGCATTCCTGGAGAGAGAGACTTTAGTAATTTTTCCATACTGACCAAAATACTCCTTCCGCAGTAATAGCTGTTAAAAAAGAAACAATTTCTTTAGACTATAGAAAGTAAACAAATATTTGGTTAATCAGTTAGAACCATCATCAAGACATAAAAACTACTCCTGTTGCTCGGAGAAAGACAGAGGTTCTAGAAATACAAAAGAAAGTAAAAAGGAGCTCTCTACATCTTCATCGGCAAGACTAAGTGGTAGTCCAATCACATAAGCCATTTTCCGCTGAATCACTCTAACATTTGTAAGATCCTTCTTTACTTCATTAATCTTTGGCTTGGCCTTTGGAGGCTTGTTTTTCCGACTTGCAATTTTATTCCCCATCCTATATAATATATAAACAAAAAAGTAAAATATCTAAATGTTTAGCTCTCTCCACACTCACATTAGCAAAAACAAATAAAGCAAAATAAAATGCTTAAATGTCCAACTTTCTGCGTCATAAATCAGAAAATAATAAATAAATCACAAAAGAAAGCCAACCTTTCACAACTTGCTTGCGTCGCCACAATTTTTTCCTTCTCGTAGATTGTACGACATGCAGGACATCGCCCCTCTGTCTCATTTTTTTCTGCCATGTCTATGATGTGATGCCAACACCAAACACACACCTGTAGTGATTACAACAGCATGCTTAACAAATACCACTTAAATGAGATCGCAATTTCGAAGTTATTCGGAAGAGATGTGTTGTAATGTTCTTCTGATAGTGTGGTAATATTGCTATTCATATGAGTAGAAGTTAAACGATAAACATGTCCTCAGGCATAAAACTTAGGGGAGGGGGAGAGCAACAATAAATGTGATTAAAAATATGACTAATTTTCAACGTGTATATAGTTCCAAACATCAGGAGACAAATATCAATAGAAGAGACATCAGAAAGCTAAAGCCAAACTAGGAACAGGTGTAGTGTTGGTGTTGATGAGGATTGGGCTGAATTCAGGGCCATTAAATCTAAAGGCTAAACTGAAAACAGCACTAGATTGGGTTATCAACCTACTTGTTATGATATAATTTACAATTTAGAAAATATACAACTACCCCCAGCTATTACTCAAATAATACTGTCTTTCTTTCATTAGTAAGCCAACCTTTTCAGAAACAATCTGGGGTTTTACAAATAACATGAAGATCTTTTATGGTCCTTCACTGGTCCTTTACTGTTAAACATTTCCACATCTAAAACATCATTTGGCAGACAAAATCGAAGATCTATCATGCCCGTTAAATTCAATTCCGGCTACAATCTTACAATAAAACAATATTGTAGGGTGATTCTAATTGATCCACAATGCTTGCAGGCTCGATCTCTTTTGCAATTAATCCAGTTGATGAATTTCTGGCTCAGTTCTAAATTCAATAAACCATTATCAACAATTTACAAATCCAAACTTCAAATAAAGTCTTCCATCATTAACATTGTTAATAATATAAGTTGCATGATAGAACAAAAATTACATATAATTGTTGTAAGATTATAGTAAACAAGGATTTTTAATTCTTAAAATGTGTGAGAAATACAAAAACGAAGAAGAAAAGACCATTTGCATCCAATAGAGCATGACAGAAGTACAAAAAACCAAGAAGATACAGCACCACAATATCCACAAATTTGACAGTACTCTGTGGACATTTAAATAGGTAGAGCCACCCTCAACCACCCCACAAAACTCCCTCACCATATACTACGACAAAACAAGACCATTAATATGCATGAAAAAACAAAGTTGTAGCAATAAACAATCCCATTAGCTATGCACATCAACAAACACAGCTAACAAATTTCTAGTATCAATCCTTTGGAGTTAAACTGATTAGCAGTTCAGAAACGACATGATAGGAGCACATTCAAACTCAGAGAAATCTATTGGCCTGTTTGTTTTTGATTCTCAAATTCTACAGTAAATCAATACTCATTTTCAACCACATATTTTTCAATAAAATAATATTTTCCATCACATCAATAATTTTTTTTTCTTTTTCAACCACACATTTCCCATTACATCACTATTCAAAAATCAATTCTTTCCCCAAAAATCCCTACCAAACAAGCACTATATCAAACAATACATTTTAGAATAAAAATGGTCCGTGCTAGGCAACATCTATAAAACATCAGTTACATTATTGTCAAGATAAGCAAAGGAAGCCACCAATCCCACTCCACAAATTTTCATTTCACAATACCCATCAACCCCACCCCACACCACACCACACCACACCACACCACACAAAAGAAGGGAAAAAAAAAAGGCGCCATGCAAAGGACACTTTTTAAATTATGCTCCAATTTGATACATATTCTTTAAAAATATATTCTTTCAAAACTCATTTTCAACCACACATTTTTCAATAAAATAATATTTTTCATCACATCAATAACTTTTCCTTACTTTTTAACCACTTATTAAAATATATTTTTTCCTCAATAATATTCATCAAACACACCCTATATTGCTGTATCCTTTCCTCCAACCCACAATAATGCATTACATGTCACTCCCCTCCACCCGAATGAAAATTAAAGAGGGGCAAATCTTAAATCAGCTGCCCTAATATGCATCTTTAGATCAAACCGCAAACAAATTCCAGAACCCCATTTATATGAGATGCCCAAACAAAACATGAAGTACAATCAAATAATAGAAGTTCGAAAAAAATAATCAAGGAGAAAAATTCTTTCATGAGTTGACCATTACTTTCTTTCGTAGATCATTCAATGCCATAGAAAACATCAAGAAGAATCCACTAAATATAAAGGTAATGTAAAAATAATCAAACCTGATAACCACATTTGCAAGGCTTGAGTTGCTGATCCGTCCAATCCATCTCCTCTGCACAAAGTGGACACCTCTTCTCTTCTTCGTTGCTCATCATCGCCTTTTTGACCTTATAAAAAAAAAAAACTGAAATAAACCCAAAAAAAAAAAAAAAATCATTCACTCAATAAATTAGAACCACATTCACGCATGCAAAAACATTTCCCTCCCCCAAACACCATGTATATAAAAACACAACACAACGACGAAAGGGGAAAAAGATACACAAACCCTAATCTGAAAATACAATGCCATTCATTAAATCAGAAGGAAAGTCATTCCATTTTCAGATAAAAAATGCAAGAAAAACAACCACATTCCGCACAAAAATCAAGAAATCGATTTAACAAAACCCACACTGGATATAAGACTTCATACGAATACATATAAACACGTACATTTCTACGCCGCATTGTGTAAACGAGTGAATATACATATAGTGATGAATTAAACATTCCGACATCGCTTTCGACATTGTAATTAAACAAAAAAGGGATTAAAAGTAAAAAACTTACAGAGATTTTGATCAAGAAAAAGGCAGCTAGAGAGAGAGAAAGAGAGAGACGCAAGGATCCAACTCAGGGAGTCTGTACACGAAGAAATGATTGAAAGCCACAGGATTGAGACGCCTTTTATGGATGGCCTTTTTCATTTACAATTTTTTTTTTATATATGTGCGACCGAACACACACATGTCGGTGTGTGTGAGAGAAAATGTAAAAGACACAGAAAAATTGCGACAGATTCCTATTCTATGTATTTTGAGCTAACAAGTTCCTAATATTTTATTTGTTGACGTAAAATCGTTGACGTTTTGTTATGTTGCAGACGGAATTGATCCAAATTGCCTCTAAGATAAGTGTGTGAGTCTCACACCAATATTTTTCTTCCATTTTTATCTTCTTTCTTTTTTTAATCAAAACACCATGATTGACAAACATATCCCTAGAAAAATCAAAAGAAAATTCTCGTCAATCCTTCTATTTTGTCCGTGTGTTTGGATAGTGCACAAGTTAGCATTTGGGCCTTTTTTTGAAGTCTACAAGCTCTAGGTGTAGCGAAGTCCACAAGTTCTAGGTGTCTCGACTTTACTCGTCAAAATCCAAGTCTAACTTAACCCAAATCTTGTGGCGAAACGGACCTAAACAATCGAGTTGTTCGAGCTCATTGCAACCTACTAATGCACCTTCACTTTTTAATTCTCAATAGCTAAATTCTCACTTCTTTTTTATGTGATTCCAAATTCATAAATAAGCCAATCGTTAGTATTTTAATAATGATTTTTAAAATCGTGCTTCAACCTAACAACATAATTGTCGTCTACAATCTCCACCTCTTTTTTCGTCAAGCACCAGCACCAGCACCAGCACCACCACTCATTTCTCTTTTTCTTTGCCATTTTTTTTTGGGTAACTGCTAAGTACAAAGTTAAATGATTGAGGATTAAAGTCAAGGAAGTTACAAAGTTAAATGGTTAAGTATTAAAGTCAAGGACTTTTTGTATAAAATTCATAGGTTAAGGAACTCTATTGCATTTTCCCCCTACGTGAGGGGAAATTTGCTAGATTTGACCTGAGGGCTCAATAAATGTTTAATAATTAATTAATTAATAAATGTTCATATGTTTATTCGCTGCGTCTCATTAGAAAATATTAAATATATATTAATTAATTAATATTACTCAAGTAGTCACTTACAGATTTAAGCATCAAACATACCCCACTAGTTTAACATTAAGGGTAGGTTTGATGTAGATTTTTTTAAGAATCAAATTTTGTAAAATGTGTATTTTTAAATAATATATGGTTAAAAAACATGAGAAATTATGGATCAGTATGTAAAATTATTTTTGTAAGAATGTATAATTAAAAACAAGATTGAGAAAAATAAGTTTAAACAATTTATACCAATCATAGACTAAAATTCACATTCAGGATGTTGATTTAAAAAAAAACACCAAAACGCATGCAAATTGATATGGTAAATTTCAATAGTAGTAACTATACTTTCACTTAGTGGATCACGAAATATATAAATAAAAAGTTATTTGACTTTTAACAAATTTTTATAATCACTTGCCAACCATAGATTTGTAATCATCAAGTAATTGTACTTTAAATTTATTCAATTGAATAACTACACTTTGTTTCGATTTCATTTTGTAACTCAATCCAATTCCATCACTTAGATTGACGAAAACCAACAACGTGACACTAAAAAAATAATAGCAATAAAAAATAATAGCAATAATTTATTTCACTAAAGTCTTGTTTGGTAGATTTTCTTCAAAATTATTTTCAACCAAACATTTTACGGGATCAACAACTTCGTTTTTTTACTTCAAATAAAAAAAATTATGCCAAACAAGCTTTAAAGTTGTACTTATTACACATTAACAATTATAAAGAGACGTTGAGAGAAAAATGGTGTTTCGAATAGTGATTTTTTGGAGAATGTGTTGTTAAAAAGTAAGGGAAAATTTTGGATTAAGGTATAAAATATAATATTGTGTGAATGCGTGATTGAAAATGAATATGAAAAATAAATTATTTTGTTTTTATGGGAGTCAAATGGGGACTAATAGTTATATGCGATGACATGATTGTCATACCCTTAATTTTATGGATGGAATTGCACAAAGTTTCCTTTATCGAAATTAAATTAAAGTTTAGTTATCTAATTGAAATCAAACTATAATAGAGTTATCGAGTGAACAAAATTGAATTGAACTTTCTGATTGACACTAAGTGAAAGTATATGGTAAGTGCGTTTTGTGCATTTATTTAGGTCACAAAACATGAAAAATTGTCGATGTATATATTGAAATATGGCTTAATTCGATATAATTTGTATTTGTAGAATTACATTGATGGATGAAATGAAGAGTATGCAAAAGCGAATGAAAAAAGACCACAATGGAAGAAAATGAAACTTTGGTGACCAAAATGCAATTATTAAAAAGTTGACCGAAATGGCGAATCAGCATGGAATTGGGCCAAGTAACACATTGTGAAATCATGGAATGCTAGGAGAAGGAGGAAAAGAAAGTAAGTCCAAAAGTAAATGAAATAAAATTTGAGGACCAAGTTGAGCCAAATGGAAAATACTTTCAACCATGCAGTCTCGCATGGTAGAAACTTCATGCTATCACCCAAGAGGTAACAGAGAGAATTTTTTGCCAAATTGTTATACCCGGATATAACCGTGTAGTCGCATGGTTCAATTCCGGTGCAAATTTTCTGGTTTCCTTGTTCAAACCAATCTCTTATAGAAATATATTTTGACGCCCTATATAACCCTAATCTCGTTCAGAATAAGGGTTGACACATTCTTAGAGAGAAAAAAAAAACATTGAAGAGGGCTAGAATAAGGAATTTCATTCAAGATTCAAGATTTCAAATCTAATTTCTAGTTTTTGGGTGATAACTTCTCTTTATTATTTTTATTGTTCTTTTATTTTATCCATATTAGGCTAGACTTTTTATGTACTAGGTGAACGATGAACCTCACAATATGATATTTTAATTCTCTATTTTGTAATTTGATATTCAAACACGATTAATGGATGTTGAATGATTTATATACACTTTCTTGCCTCCATAGTTAAATGCATGTGATTATGTGAGTTTAAGTGATCTATTTTATACATTTGAAATAAGGGAAATAGATTCTACAAGGTATAAATCATCGTAGCGTCCGATATGGGATAGAAATATACTACTATACTTTATGTGAATCTCTAAGTGTTTATAAAACGTCATGCATTCTTATATATTGTAATGTCATAGAAATATAGTCAAATAGTATGCAAGAATATGTTCAGTTCTACTCGAAAGAGATTATTGGATAAGTCAGAAACATTGATTCTTTAACCAATTTATCGTGTTATCGAATTGTGAAATAGAGGTTAAAAGTGAACTTACTTGGTGATTCGGGATCTTAGTATGCTTTTCATTCATTAATTTCATCAAACTTTTGCATTCAACATAATTTTGCATTCATTTAGCCACATTAGCTTAAATTACATTTTAGTCATAAAATCCAAATAACCAACTATCTTGAGTTTAATAGATTCGGTTAAGGTCTTAATAATAGAAATCAAATCAAATCAATCCTCGTGGGACGATACTTAAAATTTTACAATTTTCACTTTATTACTTGTTAACGAACCATGCATACCTATTCGGCCTTAGCTGCAAAGACTGATTCCTTATTTCACAAGGTGGAGAGCATAACACAGACAGAGAACTCAACACAAGTAAAAAAGTCAAATTGCGAAGAATGTTAAGCTGAACATGGAACGGCCGAATGTCCCATCCTTACACAAGGAAAGGAACATGTGGATTATGTCCAATGGGGTCAACATCAGCCAAACAACCCTCATTCTGACACATATAATCCAGGTTGGAGAAATCATCAAAACATCTCTTGGGGTGGAAACCAAAATCACAACTGAGCTCTATGACAGTTTCAGTAGGAGAAGAAACCACAGTTGGAAGACATGTTTGCAAAACTCATAGAGAAGATCGATAAATATATAGAAACCACAAATCAATTCATGAGGAAGACTAAAACAAATTTCCAAAATCAAGGCACTGCTATTAAGAATCTGGAGATTCAAATGAGAAGTTAGCTCTCTCTATGACAGGAAGAGTACCCAGTACATTAACGAGCAACACAAAAATAAATCCTAGGGAGCATGTTCAAGCCATTACTACACGAAGTGGAGTTCAGCTATTTGAGATACGTGTAAAAAGGCCAAGTGCAGATACAGAATAAGTGGAATCTTCTGAAGAAGAGAGTAAAAAGCAGGTTGACAACACCAAGAAGACATCAGTAAGAGAAAGTCCTAAAAAATCATAACAAGTGCCAGATAATTCGGTAAATCCCTAGGAGCTACCAATTCCATTCTCACAACGGTTGAGGAAGTAAAGGATGGAACATCAATACAAAAAATTTCTTGAAGTGTTCAGAAAGCTGCATATAAACATCCCATTGGCTGATGCACTCTTCTAAATACTGAGCTACGCCAAATTCTTGAAAGACATTTTATCAAACAAACGCAAGTTGGAGGGTCATAAGATAGTGATGTTGATTGAAGAAGTCAGTGCCAGAATTTAGAAAAAGCTTCCACCAATACTGAAGGATCTAGGGAGTTTTACTGTGCCCTGTACTATTGGTGAATCTATTTTGATAAAGCGTTGTGTGATCTTGGTGCCAGTATAAATTTAACGCCGTCATCTATTTTCAAGAAACTTAGACTAGGAGAAGCTAAAGAAACCACGATTACATTGCAATTGAATGACCAATCTTTGACATATCCAAGGGCAATCATAGAAGATGTGTTAATCAAGGTAGAAAATTCATATTCCCTACTGATTTTTTCGTATTAGATATGGAGGAGGACAGGATATTCCACTCATACTGGGCAGACCATTTTTGGCCACGGGCAAAGCATTGATTGATGTTCAAAAGGGATAGTTAATTTTGAGGTTGAGTGAAGAGCAGATATCCTTCAACGTTTTCAAAGCAATGCAGTTTCCTTCAAAGGCAGATAGTTGTTTCAAAATTGATGTCATTAACAAGGTGGTGCATGATACATTTCTACTTCAACATCATTCAGATGCATACGAGGTGTGTATCGTTGATTCTCAATCAACAAATTCAAATTCACTTGAGGTTGAGACTTGTGTACGGTTTATGGATACCAACCCACCATATTTTCGAAAACAGCACTTACCCAACTTTGAANAGGGAAATGAAACAGCTATCAGATGGACCATTGTAGATATAAAAGTGATAAGCTCTTCAATATGCTTGCATAAGATTCTCATGGAGGAGAATTTTCGACCTAGTGTAGAGAGTCCGCGGAGGTTAAATCCTAATATGAAAGAGTGGTCTGGGCCGAGGTATTGAAGCTTTTAGACGCGAGCATTATCTATCCTATATCAGACAGAGCATGGATCAGCCCAGTTCAAGTTGTACCGAAGAAGGGGGGAATCACAGTCGTACCTAATGAGAAGAATGAACTTATTCCTACTAGAACAGTTATGGGATGGAGGGTTTGCATTGACTACTGCAAACTCAATACATCTACAAGGAATGATCATTTTCCTCTTCCGTTCATTGATCAGATGTTAGAGAGGTTGGCAGGCCATTCATACTACTGTTTTTTCGATGGGTATTCAGGTTGCAATCAGATACCAATGGCACTGGAAGACTGGAAAAAGACCACCTTCACATGTCCCTATGGTATCTTTGCTTACCGTAGGATGCCTTTTGGGTTATGCAACACTCCATGCATGATGGCTATATTTTTCGACATGGTTGAGAGGTTTATCGAAGTGCTCATGGATGACTTCTCTATGTTTGGGCTTTCA